TATATTATACGTTCATGGTCGTAGGTTCGCGAGCAACCCATAACCTAAAAATTTCCCGCGAAATTGATGCGAGCATCTGCAATGTTTTCAGTGCACTCCTGATCTGTCGAGAAAAAGCAGCTTTTGGAATTAATATTGAAAAGAATCGCTGTCTACGTTAAAGACGAAATAGAAAATTAAATCGGAGGAACATGTCCATGCTCTCGGAGCCCCGGCAGAAGCAGAAGTGGTCTCTCAATCCGCGGGGCAAGTGGTGGACCGAGGGTGAGTATTCAAGGTAGTCAATTCTGTATCTTGCAATACAGTGAAAATGTTAAAAGTGGCTTTGTCTCTTTCCAAGAGGACGGTTAGAAAGTGACACAGCTACTCACATTTTTACTATAGTGTAAGATACAGAATTGACCCCCGGGTGTATAAAACCTGTGGCTAGAGTTTACTTTTCTCACATCATAATCTCTGCGAGATTATTAATTGACAAATTACATCCGTTGTCTACCAGACGTACGCTTTCCCTATTAATATATATGTTTACGTCTCGATGCAGACCCGAACAAATTTGGCCAGAGAATGTTGGAAAAAATGGGCTGGACGAAGGGGAAAGGACTCGGCGTTAACGAGCAAGGCATTGCGGAATTTTCCAGCGTGTTGTACAAGAACGATACAACTGGTAACTGAAAGAATCTATAACTCTTACCTAAAGGCTCGTTATCTCACAGATGTTATGCTTAAATGAGATTTTGCTTCCTCCTTGGAGGTGTGGGATACGACAAAAATTTCGAGGCGTGGACCAAAGAGCAGGAGAAGTTCAGTAACTTGTTGCAACAACTTAATGGTAATCAGAATCAAGATACTGTTAAAAGCGGGGACGCTAATCTCAGCGGACAGTCTATCGAGCTCAAGTCCAAGGACAGCCGTGCTCGCATGCAGTAAGCATTATTCTCACCATTCTCTAATTTTTGCGAATAATTGGATACAAAAAGTGTTCATGTAGATACATTTAACAAGTGATTTGTGAAACATCTAGATATGTTTTTACACACAAATATTTCGTATATAGTTATAAAAATATATTAATTTTTTTACAGTTACAAGAAATTTACGCGTGGTAAGGATATAAATAAATATAACTCTAAGGATTTGGCAAATATACTTGGCCAAAAAGAATTGGTCGTGAAAACTGAAATCAAGGTAAAACAAGACGATGGTATTCGTAAAATGGAATCTGCTGACTTAAAAGGCAAAGACAATTGGTACGGCGTTGTCACAATTAATAGTGGTAACATGGTTGATTATTTTAAATCAAAGCATAATACGGCTGATCGCTTGAAATGTAATGTAGAGTCAAACCACGATACAAACTTATCAAGCAGTACGACTGATCATCGAACGACTAAGTCTGAAAGTGAGAATGAGTATGCTGGTTTCGGATTTACAAAAACAGAAGATACATCACAGTCCAGTTGCGGAACATCACAAGACTGTGACGATAAAAGTGTTTACGCCTTTGATAATCCTTGCTTGGGATTGAATAGGTCTACAGAAACTCCTTGCGACACCAACGGTTCTCCTGCAAAGTCTGCAAAAAAGAGGAAGAAGAGATTTGAAAGCGATAGTCTTAGCACTGAAATGGATAAGCATAATATCGGAAAGAAATTAAAAACTGAAGCTATTGATAGTGATTGCAAAAACGGTTTTATTAATCCAGCTCTTAATCTGAACGCAGAGCCTGAAGAGGATTGTAATGGCAAGGAATTTGAAGTGTTCAGAGAGCAGATTGGCCTTGAAAATTGTGGTTTAGATTTGACGGACGAGAGAAACGACAAGAAACGCGTAACATTCAACGACCACGTCATGTTGTACGAATATAATATAAATTCTGCTAAAAAGAAGAAAGGGGAGGTTACATTGGATAAATTTGAAGTTGAAAATAAGAAGAGTAAAAAGAAGCGGAAACACGAGAGCACTGTGACTTCTGTAACGAACGGATTTATTAATGAAGCGTTAGATATACAAATATGCGAGGAAATTAATGATAACGAGCTGAACAAGCACAGAAATAAAAAAATTAAGAAGAGGAAAATATGTAAAACATCTAATTTAGAAACGATACAGGAATCACCAGAAAAGGAAATAATACAAATCAACGTTGAATCGGAAGAGATTACTAGTATTGTTGAAAATGGAAAAATGGACATTGTGGAACAAAAATCGAAGAAGAAGAAAAAGAAGATAGAGAAGGCAGAGAAAAAAGTCAAACAGGAAGATATTACAGTACTTCATATCATAAATGAAGAAACAGATACCAAAATTGAAGAGACAAGTAAAAGTAAAAAGACCAAGAAAAATAAGGACAGTAAAGTAGAAGAAGAAGAAATGTCAATTTTTAAGAAATGTAAAAAGAAAAAGAAGAAAGATAAGGAAAATTGCAAGAGTGAAAAACATACTGGGCAAACAGAAATAAACAATAAACAACAGGATATCAAAATGTTGGATAAGTCAGATTTAAAGCAACAAAATAATTATTTAATCGAAAATAAAAATAAGGATGCAGCAATAGTTGAACCATTGTCTGTTTTTACAACCAAAGAAAACGAGAAAAAAGAAGAACCACTAGAAAAAATTAAGCATAAGAAGAAAAAAAGAAAAAGTATCAATAACGAAGACCCTTCGAATCAAATTGATATATCCACTGTAGAGAGAGAAATTTGCGATAAGGAAAATACAGACAAAGAGCAAGATCCAGATACCAAAAAACTAGCAAAGAAAGAGAAAAAGAGTAAGAAATCGAAAGACGAGACTATATCCAACCTAGAAGATTCTAGTCTTAATAAGGATATTGTAGATGTAAATGTTGCAAAGCAGGACAAAATAGAAAATGCAGAGTTCACCGGTACACCCTCAAAAAAGGACAAAGCAATCGATATTATTGACAATATAATCAGTAGTCCATGGAGTGCAAAAGCAAGGATGTCCAAGAAAATGCTAATAACACTTTTCCATAACAATGCAATCTCAGACTTCCCAGGTTCTAATATTCGTAATATAAAGGGATATGGTGCAGACGACTATGACGACTGAATACGAGTAGTAATATATAGAATAATTTTGATAATTTGATAAAATAAAGCATTTTTTACAGATGACAAATAATAGCATATTGTAAAGATATTAATGTATACATCTCTTTAAACAAAAGTATACATTTTAAATAATATGCAATAGAAAATTATTTCAGTAAATTACTTAATTAAAATATGTAAACTTTATTAAAAAATTGTGATTATGTTATCATTAACAATTCTGTAAGTTTCTTAAACAGTTATAACGTCTCAGTACTTACATTTGAGGGAGAATCGACTACGCTTGCCATAGCTGTATCCCATAACTTTTCTTCATCCTAAACTGAAGTAACAGCTTTCGTAATTATCTATCAATGTAACTAGAATTGTTATTGAAACCAATTTATTGCACTATACGCAGTTTTGGAGCTTGTAATTGGATATCGGACTTGGTCCTCATTGGACTCGCATGATTTCTAGAATCTTTGAATCTTTAATCATAATGATGTAAAATGTACACGTCATTTTTGTATGTATATACATATATATTTTTGTATATTAAAATAAGTTATTCTAAATTATCATGTACATGACTGACATCTTCTAGGCTTAAAATTTTCTCGCGAATAAGAGAAACATCTTCTAAATCTGATTCACTTAATTTTATTATGGTTTGAGGTATGTAATCTTCTTCTGCTGAGAGCACACAGTATTGACGTTCTTCTAAAAGGTGTTTTACTTTGTTCAAGAGCCTCGGATCACATTTAAACTGTAACAAATAACAACCGTTAATGAACATATACAGATTATAATTTCGATACCACACATGCTTATACAAATATACACACGGTCTTTGCCATATTTATAATGTAAAAGATTATTTTATTTATAATTCCCCTGACGATTAATTAAGTGCAACTTAATAAATAATTACTTAAATACTTAAAAAATGTGCCTTTACTCGATACCTGGAAATATTCCGTGTCATTCTCTACAAATTCCTCCACATCTTCCGCGTCAACGTTAATAGCATCCTCCGTAGCGTTTTCCAAATCGCCCTTCTTTTCAACTATGACACTACCTAGATGAGTAAACATATTTTTGGCAGCGGTATCTGAAGTTCTTCCTCTGTGTGCACAATTAAAAAATAATTATTGCACAAGAGGTACGTGACTTGGAATATTTAATTTGTGGGCCTTAGGGCCTGAACAGTATCTTATACTCTTAAGACAGCCTCAAGACAATGTTTTATGTTTTAAGCCTTTGTCTTGAGGTGACGCACAATAACTGTCTTATGTCTTAAGGGTACAAACAGCCATTCTGCTTAGGACTTTACAATATTTGTAAATAAGACCTCTATTTCTGTAAACTGAACTGAATTATATAGAATATATAGTAGATAGGGTAACATTTTATTTCCAAATATTCCAAAACTAGCAGTACTTTGCAACACATGCTTCGGATATATATTTTACATATATCAGTGGTATTAAACACGTCGCTCATACCTGGTTTTTTTAATTTTCGCATTAAGCTCACCCACGAATCTCTTGGGATTATCCGTGGTGTAACGCACGAGCATGACGTAGCCGTTCGGCCCGCGGACTTCCTGTATACCTGACTGAGTTTTGTGCTTGCGCGCCTCCATCCTGTCGAGGAAGGATTTTATCGACGCCACCGGCATGTTCGACTTTCTAGCTCGCTCGATGAGTTGACATAATCTTAAATTATTATCAGGCTTCGTGCTGCCGCCCTCTGAAAGTAAATATTGCTTTCAGTTTTCTCTTTCGCAGCAGCTCGCGTGCCGTTATTGTGTCGCAGCGAAACGTATCCAGCAACGTGCTTATACAATACACGTGCGAAGATACGTGCAAACGCAGCTAATCAAGAGAAGGGTGTTTAACATATTTCATACACGGAAAGTTCATTTAGCAAACGTGTGACCGTCGCAACGAGAGCGCGTGTGTGTGTCACGCACCGTTTATGGCAATCATCATTTGCATCTTGAGATGATGGAACAGCACCATCCGTTCGTTGTCCTTTTCCTCCTTTATGTGCTTTATGTTCGCCCACTTGCTATGACCGGCGGATCTCCTACTGTTTTTTAACAGAAGATAAATACGCCTGTTGAGCAGCGGCCTATTCAACACTTGTGCCATTTTCGAAAAGGGTTACGGTACATCCCGTAGCAGACGCGAGATCTCTCGCCGGGAAGCCTCGCCTCTCGCCGCCTCGCTTCTCGTCCCTGATATTGTCGTTCGGTACGCGCGATTATTTTATCTTAAAAGTGGAAGAACACGAGAGGCACTGGATTTTATCTCAAGGGTGCAAGAGCCGCTGCTCTAACACGAGTAGGTCCATTAATGAGGAGGTTAGAATCGCATGTCGTTTGCGCGTTCGACGTCAAGTTACGGCAGGTCGTCGTAGAGAAATGCAAGCGGTTCATCTAATCGCATCGCTAATTAGCTCCGAAAATCGAATGCAGATGGTGAACGCGAAATTTCGCGAAATTAATTTTCATCGAGCGAGCTCGTTGCCGACCGAGACGGCAGAGTCCAGAGTTTGGCGACGAGCTTCCAGGTTCAGCGCGAGATGGAGTCACTTGTCAGTTTCGTCCTGGTCGTTGCGTTTTCTGCAGCTTGTAACTTGATCTGCTTGTATCGCGTACAAACGCTCTTCCCCGCGGTTATTCTCACGCAAGTCTTCTCTCTCTTCGCTGTTCCGGACACGCTAATTTCGATTCTGAGCGCGGGCGACACGAGTAGTCGCGGCTAAAGGGAGCAGATCGCTCGGGTGCGACGAAATCAGCGCGGTTGACCGATCTACAATTGTGCGGCCGCCATGTTGATTGCGCGTCGCGCGCGTTCGAAATCGACGCGGGATCATTCCGCGTCTCTCGCCGGGAAACAAGTGAGTCGCGGGGAAAAATACACGTCGCGTGTGTCGGACGAGATGTCGAGTGGTCATCGTGGATCGTGATTCGTGCCAGATCAATCGCGCGGCCGCGATTCGCGACGATTCGCGACAAGCTAACCCTTGCCGTTCGACGCTCGCGACACGGCAGTTTACGTTTCATCTCGGCCTCGTCTCGCTCGGAGCCGAGACGTGATCGCTTCGCGTCTCTCGCGTCTCTCGTCGGGAAAGAGCGAAATCGCATGGAAAGGTACACGCCGGGAGCGCCGGATTAGCGCGACCGCGATCCGCCCCGACGACCCTTGCGCTCGCGACACGGCGGCCATGTTCAGTTTCGCGCCTTGGTCCGTTCGAAACGACGCAAGATCGCTCCGCGTCTCTCGCCGGGAAACAAGTGAGTCGCGGGGAAAAATACACGTCGCGTGTGTCGGACGAGATGTCGAGTGGTCATTGTGGGTCGTGATTCGTGCCAGATCAATCGCGCGGCCGCGATTCGCGACGATTCGCGGCGATTCGCGACAAGCTAACCCTTGCCGTTGGACGCTCGCGACACGGCAGTTTACGTTTGATCGCGGCTTCGTCTCGCTCGGGGCTGAAATGTGATCGCTCCGCGTCTTTCGCGTCTCTCGCGTCTCTCGCCGGGAAAGAGTGAAATCGTATGGAAAGGTACGCGTCGGGAGCGCCGGATTAGCACGACCGCGACTCGTCCCGACAACCCTTGCGCGAGTAATTACGGCGGCCATGTTTGATTTCGCGCCTCGTCCCGCTCAGAGCCCGCGAGATCGCTCCGCGTCTTTCGCCGGGAAAAACTGTGCCGCGTGGGAAAATGTACGCCGGAAATGCCGGACAAGGCGGTACATCGTCCTTGCCGAACCGTCGATCGCGGCGGATCGACGTGCGCGACCGCGATCGCGACGCGGCGTCGATCGATCTCGAGCGCGTATCGAGCTTGAAGTGCCGCAATCGCGCCGTGTCCCTTTTCCCGGCTGTTTGATATCGCCGTTGCGTATTCGTTGCGTCGCGGGATTAGAACGCGAGGTGCCTGTACGAGAAGGGGAGGAAACGCGAGCGATCGCCGCCGCCGCCGCCGCCGCGGGAGGTCGACGTGAGTTACGACAATTAATATAAGCATTGTACTCGATTAAAATATCGCTCAGTTCTCGTCAAATTGACCGAGAACAGGATAATGATTATGTGATGTTTTCGCAGGAAAGATTCCCGCCGAGAGAGCCACGTTGAAGGTCCGCGGTTGTCCGTCACGACGAGAGTTGGAGGACACGATGAGAGGCCCGCGTCGGAAGGCTTACCTCGAGGTAATTACCGCACGTAATTAACTACCGCTCGTGCGCGCGCGCGCTTTCTCCTTAGTCTACCTTTCAGAAAGGAGGAGAAATCAATTTTCAAAACAAAAACGTAGCGACGAACGCAGAAATAAGACTTCAGTTTATTCACTATATCTTTCTCCGCTTTTCCTCAGTTAATCACCGGCCGCACGACGCGGGAATCAAAGGGAACGGAGGGGGGCGGCGGCGGCGGCGGCGGCGGGCCCCGTCCGCACGGATTGTGTCAAAGGAACCAGCGGCTACAAAATTAACGCGATTAGGCCGGCCGGCGGTGGGCTCGCTCGGGGGTAAGTAAAAAGAATGGCATCGAACGAGTCGACTAAATTTAGAAGGCCGAGGGTGAAGGCGCTTAACGAACCGGGCCGGAGGGTCGATATTTAGCCCGCGCGGTCTTCGTCTTACGAGAGGCGCGACGGGCTTTGAAAAGTTGCCGGTTTAGGCGCGTAATAAAGCGATACGGGAGTCACTCAAGGCGCAACAGTCGCGGCATTTCTTTTTTTTTTCGCCCCCGCCGATCCGCCGTGGATTATCAAGATTTGGCAGTCGGCCCCGGCCCTGTTAAGCTAGCGCCACGCTATGCGCGATTCCTGATTCGCAGAAATTCCTTGTCACTTACCACACTATTCGCGATTCGCAGTTTGCCATTCGTAATTTGTTATGCGTCGTTTCGCTTGCGTCAAGTTGGGTAACTTTTAACTTTTACCTGCTATCACACACAGTGGAAAGATTTGTGTTGAGTTTAACAGATGTCTCATGTCCCAAAAACGGTCCACACAAATTTTTGTGTTAATTTAACATAATGATCACACTCATAATCTGTTAGTATTTTAACACGAAATAAATACAAATCTCGAAATAATTTGAAATAAATTTCATGTAAAATTAACATATTTTTAATGACAAAATTAATTTAAAATGTGTAATTTTTGCATTTTACACAGATGTAATAAGTCAGATGACGGCTCGAAATTACTCTCACTTATGTTATATAAATATTATATATAGAATAAAATCAACATTTTATTCCGTAAGTTTTAACAGATAAATCTTGTTACTAAATATATAGAACATATGTAGTGTGTAAGATTAAAAAGTAAGTGCACACTGTGTTGTTTTAACATTTCTTTTCAAGTATTTTAATAATTTTACATTCGAGATCAATTAACATAAGAACATTATGTTAAATTAACAAACACGAATGTGTTAGACATTTAACAAAAAAATTTTAACCGGCATTTTCTTTAACAAGAAAACACAAATTTTCCAAATGTGCAGGACTTGGTATCATAAGTCTCCAATTAGGCAAGTTTCAATATTAGTAAAAAAAACCCGCTCGGCCAGCGAATCACTGCGAATGGCAAATTGCGCGCGAGTCGACGAATTTTTCCTCCGCACTATTCACGAATCGCGCACAGTGTAGCGCCAGCTTAAATCGCAACAGTCACCTGCAGCGTGTGTTTACTTAATGAATATGCGACAACGTGAGCGCGTGTGCGCTTTTAAATGTGCGCGCTTCGTTGTTTACTCAACTTACCCGACGCGCGCGTGCTAATAATAGTCGCGAGTAATTTAACATCTATTTGGGAACGTGCTGTCGCGCCCGTCAATTCACTTTACCTGTAACCAATGCACGAAGGTGCGTTGCGTCGCAAATTTATCCCGTCCCGGGGTTTAATTCGCCAGAATCGCGCCCGTGTCCGAATGTCACGCGGCCCTGCGACCGGAGAGTCGATCGAAATTTCATGCGCGGCCAAAATATTATCTTTTTATTATCCCCTTTCCGCGTATTACATTTCCATACATTCGAATTACAGCGGTATCGGTTCGCTTTTTTAAAAAATTATTCTTACGAGTATTGTATTTCCGTACGTTCGAATTACAATATCAGGTGCCGTTTCATTAGTAAATTGCGCGACAGGCCTCGCACGCCGTTTCCGTCATCGTATTAGCAAAGTTAATTAATAGCCAAGAGTGTATGTACGTGAGTCCGATCAATCATTCTCCATCTCATCAGATCGTTAGTCATTCGAGAAGGGTCACAAGTGCTCGACTCTGGTTACAAGTAATGGAATAACAGCGGCCGAATGTAGATAAGCAATCGTTCGTCGCCGCGTTTCCGCGGATAATAACCCCCGGAATTTTCATTTAAAATCAAGAAGATACTCCACACACGGTGGCCCTTCAACTTCGGCCTTTAAGTTTAATCGATACACGTACCGTAAGAGAAAATTTGACATCGAAGAACTACCGCGGACGAAAAACGACGTAACAATATTAATTAAATTGAATCACAAGTAAATGGGATATTAAGTGTCCACTTAATATTTACTTAGTGTTCAATTTACTTTTAATTCAATTGAATTGAAGATAAATGTAAGATCACGAGTACTGGAAAAAATTAATAATTATTACACTTTTGCATTTTTGGAATATTGCCTCTCCTTTGTAAAGGCCTGCGTCCACGATGCTAGAACTTGGTCCAAGTTCTAGTTCTGAGAAATGTGTAGCTGTTCCATAAAAGCTGCAAGTTGATTGGCTACACATTTCTCAGAAATAGAACTTGGACCGAGTTCTAGCATCGTGGACGCAGGCTTAAGAAAGAAAATATAAAATCTCTCTTTCTCTCCGCATTACCTTGCGGAAAATCTCATTACGACAAAGTAATACAGATTTAGATACATGGAGCAATATTTTTTGCACAAAGACACTGTAGACTCTTAGTATTTTTGATGTACAATAGAACTCGTCAAGAAAACCTCGGTACAGAGACACAATATTTTCCAAGTAGATCTATCCGCAATTAATAATCTCTTATCGAGTGCCTCGATAGTCGTATCGAGAGAAACGTAATTAACAAAAACCCATAAACATTGACACACTTGGAAACGTTCCGCTCTCCGAAAAACTGAATAATCGCTTCGGGTGAAGAGACTCGCGCGCGCGAACGGTACACTTTAATTCGCGCAAATCGACAGGTCGTTTCTCCATCGGAATGAAAAGCTTTGGACTTAATGACCGTCTCGTCTTGTCGCTCTGATTTTTGCCGAGCGCGCCGTTCCCTTCCGTCCGTTTTCCTTTCCACAACGTGTGTACGTCGTCGGTGCGTATAGGTGTACACGTCGTGTTCAATTTTATGAAGGAGGACGCGTGGGGCGGCAGCGGAGGAGGAGGTGGAGCAGCAGGACGGGGGGTGGGCGACGTTTAATAAAGGGCGTGGGCGTGTGCGTGTACGTGTGCTAGGGGTGCTAGTTAGCACGGCGCTTGGCGCCGTCGACGACGTCGCCGTCTGGACGCGCGTAGTCCCTCTCCTCGGCGTTCTGCACCGACGACCTCGTCTTTTAAAGCACACACTGACGAAGCGCGAACGATGCTTCTTTAAACAGCGAGCCAATGATACGAAATAAAGTAACTTGGCGTTCAGCTTGACGCGTACGCGCCCCGCGCCGACCCGCGCCGTGCATTCCCCAAGACGGCCGACCAAGTAACGAACTTAATAAATGAATAAGCACGGACCATCAAGATGCATGGGATTTTGTTCG